ATGAGAGACAGAAATTTTCAAATTCTCTATTAACTAAATATTTAAATTTATTTATTTCAAAAACGGATTACTTTAATTAAATTTAATACTTCATTTTAATTATTTTAGTTTAACAGGATATTTTCAAAAATAAAATATTAGAAATTAAAAAATAAAATATGTTTGATTTATGAAATTTTTAAAACTATTTTGAAAATTATTACCAAAATATATTTGATTTAATCAATTTGTTGTTATTATAAAGTTTCTTATATCTAATTAATTGTTATATTATTCAATGTAAGTATTTATGATTAATAATAAGTAATAGATTTGTTAATTTTTATTGTATTAAATTATAAAATTATTCTTTTTTTGAAGTAATATTATTCTTAATTAATTTTATGATAATATTATAAAAAATTAATTGAAAAATGGATTAATTAAAGTCTATTACAAAACAAAAATTTCGTTTGTTTAATGGTTCGTTTCGTCCAAATGAATCACTTGTGATTTGTCCAACTTTTTTATATGTCCCACAAAAATTACATTTTTTTCATAGGCTTATTTGTATCAAATTTTTTATAGAATTGATATTTTTACAAGACTTTATCAACACACATTCCTTTAGAAAATGCAAGTATAATGTATACAAATTTTAAAGTTACTTTTACAATTGAAAAATAATTTTTGTATATAAAATATATACTAGGTATAATTACAGTAATGTCACTGTAATGATACGAAAAAGATTACCAAATTCCATTCAAGAAGAATTGTTTTCATCTTTCTTTGAGATATTACTTTCGAATTACTGCAATATTACAGTAATATTACCATGTAATGTAACTATGCAATAACTTAAAATATCACATTGGTGTGAATATAGTTTAGTTTAGGTTATTTACGGTATGATACACCTTTTTTAATTTGATGTTACATTGGTATATTAATAACATTACATGGAACATTGTAGTCACATTACTGTAATGTCACACGGAAAAAAATTTCTTATAGAAAACTTAAACTTTTTCGTAAAATATACAAATAGGTTAAGTTGTGCTTTATGCAGGCGAGTTTTGTGTTTCCAACAAGCTGGTTTGTGTTTCCAACAAGCTGGTTTGTGTTTCCAACAAGCTGGTTTGTGTGTTCCACAAACCAATCTGTTATAACACCAAGAAATCCACGCATGCGCAAGAAAATTCAAGTGAACGTCTGCTTGTCGTCTGCTGCGTGACTGTTTAAGATGTTGAATCATAAACTGAAGTTTGTGACAAGACTCATTCTGGTTTGTGTATTTCCCAAACTCAGCCGTTTGTGGATACTACAACCGCCATTCATAGATGGCACAAGAAATCTTGTAATTTTCACAGGAAATTTTTTTCCGTGCATGTGTTACTTAGATGATATTTAAAAATACCCTGCATATTTTCTAAGGATGTTTGCCATTTTTATATAATTAGGGTATCCCTAGGATATTTGTAGGACGTCCATAAATAACATTATTACAGCTAATTGATATCTTAATTTCCAAAGACTAATGAATAATCTCAAGATGTCTATAGGAGATATCTAAGATATCTTACGATATCAGTAGGATAATTAGAATTCTTTGCTCTACTGGATATTCGAAATATTTTATTTAAACATTTTCAAGATATTGAAGCATATGAAAATTACTTAAATGTATTGTGGGATTTGTGTGATATTTTTAAATGATTTACATATTAAAAAACTTAAAGTGCTCATTTAAAGCGGTTTTGTTGAAATGAATTGGCGCGCGTAGCGCGCAGAAATTGTTTTAGTAAATATAATAGAAAGTGTAAATGAATTAAATGAAACTATATTTTTAATATATAAGACTCTTTAGTAGATTTAATATGGATCAGACTTAATATGACGCACTTAGTTCAAAATTTAAAAGTTATAGATTTGATTTCAGGATCAGATCATTTCCCCCTAGCTCTCTTATTGGACATGTCTGTGGAATCTGGTAACATAAATAGTTTTGAAAATGAATATAAATGGGAGGGAAATTTAGCACATGCTTATACGAATGAGATGTCAGTATACTCGAATAAAGTCATTCATACAGATAATATCGATACCCTTACTGATAACTTAATAACAACAATAATGAAGGTTTCAAAAAATTTAAATATGGTTACGAAACCTAATGCGAATTTGTGCCGTTCACAGCCGTGGTTTGACAGGGAATGTTTAGAAAGTAGAAATTTTATGAAAAATAAATTTAAAAAGTGCAGTTCGCTAGGATTTCCCCAGTGGAATTGCGCAAATAATTTTAGTCGGACAGTTTGTAAATCGTTTTCTCATTGCCCTTACGAATGATCGCAATTATTGAACTGTCCTCGTCACCAATAACAACTCGAACATCAACCCTAGTTAATGTTGATTCAGCTCCCAAGTCGGCTTCCATCGCCTTGGCACTTCCTTCTAAATTGTGACGGCAATCGTGATCCTCTTTTTTTCGACGAAGTGCGCATAGCTTGTATTTACGATTTCTTGTCAAAAATCTAACATTTTACAGCTTAAAAAACCTATAATACAACAGTAATCGTTCAAACTGTTATAACTTCTTCCATTGCCGCGCCTAATCCAATTAATATCGTATGGATATTAACAATATTCCCTAATGTCGAATCAAATTGTTTTGGCGTATTTTTCAAAATTTCTTAGAAAAGATAAATAACTTCAGCAATTTTAATCGGACTGTAAAAATACAAATTTTCAAATTCATATTTTAAGGAAAACAATGACAACATTAAAAAATTTACACAAAAGTGTTTATTATTGCTTACATTTAGTCTTACATATCGTTGGTTTAGAATTCGAAAGTATTATTTATATATATATATATATATATATATATATATATATATATATATTACATTACTTGAACTCTATAAAACAAACAGTAAATTTTCGTAAAATAAATATCTAACTTAAATGTTAATTTATATAATTTAATAAAACAACATTTAATAGTGTCTCTAAGTTCTCCAAATTAACTATGTCGCAGAAAAATAGTTTTTTGTCGTTAAATTATGTAAAATTCAGAAAGGCTAATATATTTTATCCACACTTCTTTGTTTCCTTCTAGAATCATGCAAAGAATTAAATGAATTTATATAGGTAAGAATTAAGAATTTATATAAAATTTATAAACAATTTTAACATATTTATAACAAAATTTCTAAAAAACGTTTAGATTGGTTTAATTTCTTAAAGCTTAATTTCTTTATTCTCTAACGTTTAAATTTAGTTACTAAATTTGTATAATTACGAAAAGTTCGATTGTTTATTTTTTGAATACAATATTTTAATTTGCATGCAACTAAATATACACCTTTATATTATTCTTATATAATGATATTTAGGAAAAACTCACCTGAATCGTTGTTGTCCTGTCAGAAGGATTGGACGATCTATCATTAAAGGTATTGCGCATATTATTTGCAATATTTTTAAATAACGATTATTTACTTTAATGTGCAATGTTTTATTTTGTTCATAAACAAACAAAATTTGGGTAACAGTTTTAAAATATAAAATATATCAAAGATAGATTCACTAATTACGTCTTTTGCCAATAATCTAAAATTATTTTCTTAAGAATATTTATAATTAGCTGCAATAGTATTTGCAATTAAGTCAATAAAACTTTTTGTGAAGATCCTAAATTAATTGCATTTTCTGATCAAAATATAACAATTTTTAATTCAATACACGAAAGTAAACATCAAATTACATTAAAACCAAAAAGAAGAAGATCTGTTATATTTCTATAATGATAAACTTTATTCATTCCGTTAAAGCTATCTCTATATGTGTTAATTAATTATAAGTTTTATTAGCCTTGAAACAAAATCTCCTATTTTTAATTATACTATTAGATAAATTATCATTGACATAAACTATTAAATTAAAATGCAAGGCGTTGTCGGCAGTGGCAGGACAGCTGGTATAATGAGACACTGCGATATTTCAAACAGCTGAGTTGACAGTGCTGTTTCTTCTTGTGGAAAAGTAAAGTTTTATTCTGTTAAAGCTTTTTTAAATGATACAAACTTTCTGGGCGTAAAATCTGACAATTCTTTTAACTACAAATGCTTTAATTTATTAGTGTGTAAGATTCCCTCGAAATTTCTAGAGCATTATACATAATAGTGCGATAGACACAATTGTAGATCGTTATTACCGTAAATCACTTTTTCGGCAATGGCGGGACACTTGTCCGGACACTGCTCCTTTACATCTGATAAAATAGTACATTTCTAAATGACTTCGGTATCATTTTTTTAAAGTTTTGTCGGTAATATTTTTCATAACAATAACCTAATCCAAAAATTGCGGATGTATTTTCAAATAATCTGTAATGATGAAAATAATAATCTTATCTCATTTTTTAGGTGGTAAAAAACGGAAACAATTAAAAAGGGTCACAAAGGAACCCAAATACCTCGAATTTGAAAGTCGTAAAAGACTAATGAATGGAGAGAATAATAATTAACAGACAAATAAATTCATTCATTTGATATTATGTATGAGTACAATTCGATGAGTGTTTATACTCCAAACTCGACTCTTACTAAAATTTTCGCAAGCAAAGAAATCGCATAAGGCCGAGAATTAATAAACAGACACTTTAGAAAGAGATATATATCTTATCTGTTTTAAAGTGGAAAACAATTACGAAAATGAAATTTAATTCATAAATAGAGAATAAAATAAAGTATCTAATTTAGGTAAATTTTAAACATATAGAAAAATAAGGTTAAAGCATGAGTTGTAATACTAATAGACTCTGTCTCTTAGATTTTTTGTGTCGCTGTGTTTTTAGTTTCTGGTACGAGGCCGAATTACCGAATTCAAATACTTTATTTTAACCCAAAATATAAGGGTTCAAGCAAAAAAATTGTGGTTCTAAGTTAAATCATCTCAAAGTGCTAACTTGATTGGACATAAATATTGAAGGTATTTTAAAGGAAAGAGAAATTAAATCTAAATTAACATATTTTTTTATTATCATGGAAAAATTACTTCACATTTTTAACAAAACTTGTGATAATTTATACATTTGTTAAATGAAGTTGATGAATTCACATCACCTTAATGTTCTCCTAAAATCAAAACAAATTTTATAGTTATCCGAAAAATTACAGAGGATATATTCAGTATTCACTTACTTCTAAGCTGTTTACGTATTCTTTCAGATATTGTTACCTTTCCAATATTGTGACATTTCCGTATGAATTATGTTATTGAATGCAGCGTCTAATGATTTCTTTGTTATTCTCTCGTTTTTTAATACATCCTTTAGAAATGCTGTAGCCAGAAATTTGTTTAATATACACAACCGTAGAAAACTATCAGTACTATTGCAAGCACTCGGCTTAAAAACATGCAAGTTTTTAAGGGGTTACATGGGTCAAAACGTCCAGACAATGTATGATTGTTTAATTATTTTTTTTTTCATAAAATAAATAAATTTTTTTATTTGAGTGTTTTCAAATCTTAAAGTACACTATTAAAAGAGTTACTTGTAAAATTTTCGTTCAAAAATATTTAAAATTAGGGCCGTACCTACAGGTTCTTTGAAAACCCTTCCAAAAAAGCGGTGGTCACGCTATCTTGTAACCAGGTAATCGAAAATCGAAAAACCGAATATTTTCTGTTAGTGGATGAGTATAGCTCGTGATTGAACGAAGGAATATTTTTTTTGTTGATTAGAACCGATTTTACATGGTCTTAATGGTTCTAAAAATTGAAACTTTTGACAAAAGACACTGTCAAAAATCAAAATTTTAATTTTTTTGAAAACCCTTTGTTCAATCACGAGATATATTCACCCACTAACAGAAAATTTTTTGTATTTTGATTTCAGATGAAGCAGTCAAAAGATATCTTGACCACCGCAAAAGCAATTTTTTCGGAAAGGGGCCCGAAGAACTGTTGCTACGGGCCTGATTTTTATTATTTTTTATCAAAAATTTAGTATCTTACTCATTTAATAGTGTACTTTTAGATACCAAAGTGTTCAAATAAAAAAATTTATTTTTTTATGAAAAAAAATTATTAAAGAAACATACATTTTCAGGTCGTTTTGACCCATGTAACCCCTTAAATCATACTTTTTTTAGTAATAACTAATTTTAAAAAAATAAACCATTGGATTTTTCAAAATTCTTAGAAAAAATTTTTTAATCTTTTTTTTATCTTAAATCGAAATTGAGTTTTAAGTGATGACATTTATTTATTTAAACTTTTAATTATATATAATTAAAGCTAAAATATAATAGCTTTCGAATGTTACATTTTTTAACTTTCTAAAATTTGTTTTTACTGAAAATCGTAATATAAAGGATCGCTGCTTTTTAGCCGTGCGTGTACAACCGCACCTAAAATATTTAAAGGTTATGTATGAAATGGTACAAATTAGGCCAAGAGACGAAATTATACCTTCAACTTATTCAAATACAAAAAATAGTAATTCATGTTCTAACATATTATATTTAGTGTACAGCGGAACATAGGTAAAAGTAAGAAGTTAACAAATTAAGAAACAAAAAGTAGACAACTGTCTAGTCAGTTATCTAACTGAGGATTTTACTCATGCCAATAGACGAATACAGGCAAATATTAAGTTGCTTTGTCTTTTTAGCACCGATTAGATGACCGTCTAGACGCTTAGCTGAATGGTAGATTCTTCTACTTGGTTACGATATTAAAATCCATAAAATGAAATTCAATTAGTCTCGGGTTAAAAAATTATTTTGGTCATTAGGTATCTTTTCTCAGACGCGGTCACATATATATGGAACGTTCCATATAAGCGAGGACAGACATAGTAGAAGCAATGGTCAATACGGCTGTCAAATTAAAAAATTCTGGACAATTAAAAATATTTTTATGAATTTAAAACTAAAACTTAACAAGTGCAAGTGGAACTTGTAGTAAATCTGAGAGTTCCGTAAATGTAGCAAACTCTAATCGTTTTAATTCAATTTATCCTGAAGTCTAAATATAAAAAAAACTAATGGAAAACTGCAGTTCACTAGGTCATGAACGTTTCCCAGGAAAGGTTTTTGGGTTTAAAAAAAATGACCATGAATTTTGCACCTACTGTCCTTTAATATGACCCTAACAGTGTTAAAAAATGCCCTTAACAAAAAAATCGGTCGGAGTAAAAAAAAAAATTGAATTTTTGTTTCAAAGTAACAGTAAGTATTTCACTAAAAAAAATGTATTTTTGTTACTGCCATACTTATGGCTAATTCTCACATATTGTATTGGTGGATATGGTACAGGCATACAATATTGCTATTTCAGCTACACTTAGTGCAGACTAGCCAATTTTTAATCGAAAAGTTCAAATCCATAATTTGAAAAAATTGGTTCTAGCAACAATATCTAAGCCGCATTTTGAATGCTTAATATGATAAATTGGTCGGTCAACTTGTTCAAATTTTGAAAAAAAAAATTGTTACTATTGAAAAAATATGGGTAGACCAAAAACGGATAAGTCCGTCAGTAGCAGAGAAGTAAATTCTGTAAAAAATATATCTTGTATATATCTTGTTTCTCAGAAATCGGTTCTGGTAAACTTCATCAATGTACAAGCCTTTGTCACATGAGGCAATGAGTAAAATACAGACTAGAGTCCACTTCAGTGACAATCATATTCAAAATATCAGCACGGTCATTGGTCAAGAAACTGGTAACCGTTTCTTGGCAACATTTCTTGGAACAAGCGAGTGAATCTGTTCACTTTGATTTTAAGCAAACTGTGCATCGATTTCCTGTTCCATTAAGTACATTTGAAGCTAATGGTAATGGACTTCTCTAAGCTGTTATAAAATATAATAATTAGCATATTGGAATGAAAGGTCTAAAGCAAATACTTTTTGTAAAAAGTACCTATATTTGTTGGTTTAAAAATTAAAACTACTGAAAATACAAGAAAAAATATCTGTTGTTGGAGGATTTTAAAGAAAACGAATTTGAAATGATGTTCAGCAAATATTTGTGGATCATGAAGTTCAAGGTACGAAGTACGTAGTCTTCAAAAAATTAATGAAGGACAAAATGATATGCACGTCTCACAATGTGTTATTTTTGCATTTTCGCGTTCAAAACTTAATTTCTCTTGAAGGAATTGACCAAAATGAATGGACCTTGGACCAAAATAAAGCTAAATAAATGTAGAATAGAGGAAAATTATAGAAAATCCTTAATCTAATTTTTTGAGCTCCTGGGAATTAAGTGAAGTTAGCATTTTTATAAAAAAATGACAAATTAGAGTATAAAAACCTGTAAATCATGATAAAACTTAGAAAAAAACTTTTTTGTAACAATTTAGGATCACTGAATACAAAAATAAAGTTGGTGTTTCGAAATTCAAAATGGCGAATTTAAAATGGCAGGTGAAATTTTCAAAATTAAAAAAAAATTTCTAATTTGTCTTAATTGTGGTATTTTAATGTTTTCGAGGTCGCTGAATCCAAATATGATGGTAAAATTTAAATATTCAAAATGTCGGACCCAATATGTCGGACAAAATTTTTTAAACGTGCTTCGATTTCAATAAGACTTGGTACTTTTACGTTTCAGAGGTCGCAGAATTCAAATATGTTGATAAAATTTTAAAATTCAAAATGACGGGCCCAACATGGCGGACAAAAATTGTTAAAAGTTCTTTGATTTCAATAATACGTGGTATTATAATGTTTTCAAGGTCGCTGAATTCAAATATAATGGTGAAATTTTAAAATTTAAAATGGAGAACCCAAAGTGGCTAACCAAATTTTTTTAAAATGCTCCGACTTTAATAATACTTGGTACTATAATATTTTTGATGTCGCTGAATTTAAATATGATGGTAAAATTAAAAGATTCAATATGGCGAACAAAAAGTGTTTAAAAATTCTTAGACTTTAACATGACTTTGTACTTTATAATGTTATGCAGAATATAATATTTTAATTCTCCAATTTAAGATTCGATTTGTACCAAAGTTTAAATTTTTTGTGGCTATTGGAAATAGTGCAATTGGTGTTTTTTTATTTAAATATATACTTTACTCTGATTGTTTTAATATATTTTATTTCCTTGGAAGTATGTACTTATTTGTAAATTGAACTACAGTTGTTTGACAATTTTTCTGCTTTCAATTGTTTTCCCGCTAATCTTTTCTTAAAAGTCATCCTTAGAATTTGACTGCGCTTGACGTGTAAGATAATAAAGTTGTTCCTTTTCAAATTTGTCAAATTAAAATATAAAAAATATTTTGTCCGCCATATTGGGTCCGCCGTTTTGAATTTTTTAATTTTACCATCATATTTGAATTCAGCGACCTCTGAAAAATAAAAGTACTAAGTCTTATTGAAATCGAAGCATCTTTAAAAAATTTTGTCCGCCATATGGGGTCCGCCATTTTGAATTTTTAAATTTTACCATCATATTTGGATTCAGCGATCTCGCAAGCATTAAAATACCACAATTTGGACAAATTATAAGTTTTCTTAAATTTTGAAAATTTCATCTGCCATTTTCAATTCGCCATTTTGAATTTCAAAACACCAACTTTATTTTTGTATTCAGTGATCCTAAATTATTACAAAAAGTTGTTTTATTAAGTTTTATCATGATTTACAGGTTTTTATACTCTAATTTGTCATTTTTTCATAAAAAAATGCTAACTTCATTCAACTCCCAGAAGCTCAAAAAATTAGATCAAGGATTCTTTATAATTTTTCTCTATTCTACATTTATTTAGCTTTATTTTGGTTCAAGGTTCAATCATTTTGGTCAATGCCTTCAAGAGAAATTAGGTTTTGAACACGAAAATGCAAAAATAACACACTGTGGGTGCGTAGAGTAAAAGTGGTGAATTGTGTGAAGAGAAGTATTGGGTGCATGTAAGTGTTAAAGAAGTTGTGGTGAGTGCTTTAGTGTGTTTAAAAAAGTGTGTAAAGTTGTACTGGGTTTTGGAAGGTTAGGTTGAGAGCGTGGGGAGTGTAAGTGAGAGGCTAAGGAGTTAGAGAGAGAAAGGAAGGGTACGTAAAGGCGGGTACTCATGGCGCTGTTAGAAAGGTCGCCGGTAAAAGGCGAAAGACGGCATGATAATGCTGGAGACAGAGGGCAGGAGATTACTGGTGGGCAGGCTGAATCAAGTCGGGGGGACAAGGGGGAGATAGAGAATTCAGAAAAGGATAGTGATAAAGACGGGGAGGTTTTTGAGACCCCCAAGACTTTGAGAAAAATGTCTTACTATGTGACATTTAGTTAAAGTGACCATACGTCCTGGATTGTGCGGGACTGTCCCG